ACCAAGAGAATCTGCTATTATAAGCACTTGTGGGTAAACTGTGATGATGGTTGAGTTCTCATTGCCATCCTCACCAAACGCTGCAGCTTCTGTTATATATTAATAGAGAGTACAAAGACTAAACTTAAAAAGGCAACTTCTATGGTGAGCAATATCATACACATCATTATCATCATCATTATCATCACCAGTCAAGCATTGACCAGTATTTAACTAATTCAACTAATAAAGCATCATTTCAATGTTAGATTCAGAACGTCGAACCTGCAATTAGAGAATCCATTGGAGACGACGAATTATCATCAGAATCCCGCGGCGAGTTCCTAGAAGTAGGAGGAGGAGTACTATTCGTCGTCGTCGTCATTAGAACTTCGGAGCTGTCGTTACTCTGAGTTTGACCCATCGATTGAAGCTGAAACGGACGTTCGTTTTGCTTCCTTTCTTTTTGTGAGAGTAAGAGAGAACACGCCACCGTCAAATCTCATCGGAGAAGAAATAGTGGGAAAGAAGAAGTAGATTTAGGTTTATTTAGTTAGGGGTACAATGGTACATTAACCATTAGAATTTTAGTGGTAAACATGGTTAAGGTAGTTTTGAAATAGTGTATCCCAAAAGTGGTAGTTTAGGTAAATTCCCAATAATTAATTAAGATTCTGATATGTGCATGAGCTGGCAGGATCATGTGATTAGGAAAATATAAGTACTACTTATATCGACCAAGAATGTATAGAAAATTTAATTTAAATCTCAGGAGGTGAGGTATTCTGAATCTAATGGCTACGAAGGTGTTGATGACATCCAACGGGGACAAGGTTTCCCGGAACATCGCTATCCAGCTAGCCAAACACGGTTGAAGGTGAGTTTCCAGTGGCCTTGCTCCTCCTCTTAGTTTAGTTACAAGCAAGGTTAATGGAATATATATCAGGTTGGTTTTGTTGGGAGATGAGGCTTCTCTAAGGAGCATTGTGGACCACATACGAGTGTCTGTAGATGGAGCCTTCCCAGTGTTGCTCATTGGAGTCGACATGGAAGATGATAGTGAGGAAGCTTTCTATGTTGCTGTCCAAAAGGCATGGACTTGTCTGGGCTCTTTGGATGCTTTTATCAATTGCTATACCTACCAAGGAAAGATGCAGGACATTCTTCAAGTCCCTGAAGGTGAATTCAAGAAAATCACAAAGATCAATCTCACAGCTCCATGGTATCTATTGAAGGCTGTGGCAAGTACGATGAAGGAGCATGGAGCAGGAGGATCCATTGTCTTTTTGGCCACGATCGCTAGTGGGGAGAGAGGACTTTACCCTGGAGCTGATGCCTATGCTACAGCCGCAGCTGGAATTCACCAGCTGGTTCGGGTAAACATCTTCTTACATTTCCTAATCTGCAAGGCTTGTCATGTTATAGACAATTTAGTTCAAGTTTTAATAAAAGTCTTTTTTTCCAAGTTTAGAATTTATGTTATGTAAATTATTTCTTAAATTTTATAAATTTTAGAACTATAGACAAATCTTTCGCTTGGGCCCTCATAATATAGAGATTAAACTTGACTTATGTTTTATTTATTTACTAGGTGACCGGTCCGCACCCTGTGCGGGCATAAGTATGTTCAAAAATTTTTTATAATAGTGTATCGGTTTAGAAGTAACGGACTACACCATGTTTTGGAGAAACCCTACACCATGGAGAAAAACCGGTACTCAATATTTGACATTGTATGAGAGGGTATAAAATAACGCAAATGGTGCGAGCAGTTATTGTGTGTATGTATAATTGCAAAGTCTCAAAATAATTAGTGTGTTTTACGAAAATATTTTCATTCGTCATCTAATGGATTTGTTAAGACTTATTATAAAAAGAATTGACAGTTTTAGAAGTAACAGATTTTATATTATCCTGTGTAATTAGAATTATATTATATATATGTTGTATTTTTTATTTTTAGGTGAATAATAGTATTATGTTTAATTTTCAACCTTATTTCTGTACGCATATTAAAAGAAAATATAATAAATTTCAAAATAAGCTCCAAAAATAAAAATAAAATTATTATCCATAAATAATATAAATTTATGAAGTACAAAATCTCGATAAAGGTGTAGCAAATCCATTAGACACCTGCAGAAAAATATTTTAGTTTGTAAGCCCTAAGACCGGATAAATTTCTGTGATAGATATAAAATAATTTCTGAATTTATTGTATCTGTAAATAATATTAAATTCCATACCGTCATAGAAATAGGCAAAATAATGGATGGTAATCAAATAAAATCTCTCTTCTACCTCATCAGTACCCATCTTCCAATACCTTGTCAAAAAATAATATAAAAGTTTATATATCAAAAAGGAAATTATTTGAAAAAGTATATTAAAATCACGTACCCTGACTACGGAATATTTTGGAAAACTTGTTTGTAGACAACATTCAATATTTTGGTCTGCTTCTTCGATTCTTTACCAGTTATTAGGATTTTTAATCCTGATCTCGACTTAACTCTTGAAAGTGCTACGTTGAGCTGACCATGATAGAATACTGACCTAGGCAGGAACAAACCAACACTTTCCAGAGTTTGACCTTGACTTTTGTTGATGGTCATCGCGAATGCCAATGTAACAAGAAACTGTCTTCGACGCATTCTGAAGGGAAACTTTGTGTCAGGTGGTGTGACAAACATTCTAGAGATCCAAACCTTGTCACCCGCAATATTGTTTCCGGTTATAATTCTACCTTCTATCACATGGGGCAGTAACTGAGTAAAAATTAGCCTAGTACCATTACATAAGCCATCAGCAACATCAATGTTACGGAGACACATAATAGGAGCACCCACCTTGAGCTTCAAACAATGTCTAGGCAGTCCAGCCACTTTAACACTGTTCAAAAACTCTACAGGATATACTACAGTTTCTTCTATGTCAACATCGGATGGGATGATACTGTCTGAGCTAAGGTAAACCTTCTCTTGACCTGAAATTATATGTAAATCCTTTTCTTTAGTGACCTCTTATTGGTAGTGAAACATAAGAGTAAATGATTGAACATGTTACCTGGCAATTGCGAGAGCATGTAATCATTTATTTTATCCACTTCATCATTAGTGGGAGTAAGAATGGCTCGATGTCTATATAAATCCTTATATGTTGAGGTTTGAAAAGCTTGTCCATAAACCTCTTTTGCCATAGTATCAATAGGATCTTCTCCATTATTTTTAATCAGCAAATCAGAAGGGATGTCAATCTCAACTTGACCGTCGTTAGGCAAATTTATTTTTCCATCTCCAATATTCAAAATCCAGTTTGAGAAGGATTGAATCTCTTTTGCTGCATCATCAGTAAGACCAGCGAGCAATCTCATGTTTTTTGTTAGCTTCAAAACTTTGCAGTGCTCCCAAAGATACGACGAATTAAGAGCCGCCAAAACCGTCTCTGCTCTACCACCCCCATGTATAACCGGTAAAATCTGTCTAAAATCTCCACCAAAAACAACAACTTTACCTCCAAAAGGTTTGTCTTCAGAAGATCTTATAATATCACGCATACTGCGATCCAACGTCTCGAAACAGTGTCTGCTCATCATAGGCGCCTCATCCCATACAATTAACTTTGCTGCTTTAACTAATTCTGCACGATCTGATCCTGGTTCCATTTTTTTGCAGGTACTGAATTCGTCAGCATCTATCGGAATACCAAATCTGGAATGTGCGGTTCTACCTCCTTCCAACAACAGTGCAGCAATTCCACTGGATGCGTTATTTAAAAAAATCATACCTCTAGATCGGATTGCTGATGAGAGTGCTCTGTATACGAAGGTTTTTCCTGTGCCTCCATAACCATAAAGAAAGAACACTCCACCGCTATCATTTAAAACTGCATCCAAAATCTGGTTATATACGACTCTTTGCTCATCTGTTATCATCGCCATAAGTCTTTCATTTTCCTTTAGCTGATCTTCCACAACATATTTAAGCTCATAATCTATAAGGCGATTGCCGTTGTAACAGGCAAAATCTTCTGGCTTTGGCATATGGGGCCATTTTTTGAGGCTACGACCATTGCTGAGCAAATGATTCTCGATCTCAGTAATAGCAATATTTTTGATCTGCTCTACGCTCAAGATCATATCTGCAAGTTTTATAGTTTTATTAGATCACATAGAGAGTTTCAAATAAGTAAATTAGTAAGACAAAACTGACCAGGTCGTCCAGTTTCTCGGCGCTTCTTGTAAAGGATATCTTCGGTGAGATACTCCCAAGTAGCTTCCAACACAACATGAGGCTGAGATAACGTTTTGGATACCAACATTCTCGCAAAAAGCTTCCTGGCATACGTGGCGGAACTATTGTCAGTGGCCTCTTTGATAGCTTCAATGAATTCCTTGTCATAATCCATCAATCCCAACGCATAGCAAGCATCTTCGTATGTTGGATATAAAATACCATCAACTGTTTTTATATCCTCGTATGATGTCGGACCTCTTACCCAATTTAGCAATACTCTTAAAAAATATAGCTCATCACCTGACAGATGTATATGCTCAATCCTCCCTATCGCAAAGCCTCGTTTCCGTGGTACCCATTCTCTCGTAGCTGATTTCCAGACAAATTTAGTCGGGAATTCAGCATATGTCAACTCTCTTGCCTCTGGATATTTTTTGTTTGCTATGAATCAGACCAAAAACATGGATTGGTTGACAGTCTTTTTGTTGAGAATACTCTCAATAGGTTCATCTTTATCAAAAAACACCAGCTCCTGATCCGGAAGATGAAATCCAAGTTTCTCAACTGAAGTAGTGCGGAAATGTGTAGGAAAAGCAAGAATCCTCCAAGACGACTCGCATGCCGTAATATATCTAATTAAGAAATATGGAAAAAAAAATTAGTAAAGATGAACGTATACCTTAAAATGCGAAACACAATAAACTCTGTGTATAAATAATGTATTTATTCATTCATGAACTCTTGAATTAAATTAAAAATATAGTAAAATATATAATAGATAATAATGGCGTAAAACATTTAGTTTCCGGGTTATTCAAAGGTAAACAATATTATAAGCAATTTGACTATATATTAAGGTATACATAAGCCATATTAGTATCACTTAAACCATTTTAATAAATTTATTTTCAAGCCTAAATCGGTATTTAAAAATCTGTTTATTAATTATGTTATATATTCATTTATGAAGTTATTAACTTTAAAAAGAGTGAAATTTATATATTATAAAAATGGCGAAAAAACTACGATTTTTTAACACTAAAAATACCTGCAGTCGTAATATGTTTTAATTTCCTCATCTTCCATATCCATTGCAGCTGAAGCATAATCAGGCCCCTTATGAATATATTTGAAAAGATACTTAGCAGCTCGTGTTTGGACGCACCACTCAATATTCATATGCGCGCGATATCGGAGCATGAGGCCTCTGTTGTATGGTACAACATATCATTGTCTAGTCTGATTCCATTTTTCTCAATGAACCGACCATCAATGCGACGCATGTAAGCTGGAAATCCATTTGCGTCAATCGACGTCCTCATGTTCAGAGGTTTTGGAAACATCTTAGAACATTTACCGTTAACCATACATACATTATCCTTCTTTGCTGGTCCGCAAGGACCATGCATCATACAATCCCCAACGATTTCATACAGGTCTGGATCTACTGTCTTGTCTGGTATTTCAGCACAAATAATCTTATCTACATCATCGGCTGTTGGAAATTTAGATCCTTTTTCCATGAAAACAAGAATATGAGCGTGTGGCATTCCTCTTTTCTGAAACTCAATCGTGTACATTACTAAGAAAATAAAACAAAATTAGTTTCAGACAATTTTTAATCAACAAATAAACTATATAAAGTATCTGTTTGAAAAAAATAATTAATATATTTATAAGGATAACATATGTAAGGAGATTTACCTGCAGCAGTAGGGCCAAATAAGGAGCCGTTTTTTTTTTGTCAACTCGCCGACAAGATTATCGAGTTTCATCTTAAAAACTCTACACAATTTTTCAGGCCTGTCTTCGGTGGTCAGGTTATATTTTTTGAGATACCTTGTAACTTCAGGCCATTTTGGATTGCACGTAAAAGTGATGAAAAGATCTGGAAATCCATGATACTTGCACATAGCCATGGCATCATAGTAGTGCTGCTTCATATACCTTTTTCCTCTGGTGAAAGTTGCTGGAATGAAAATTCGGCTCCCTTGCTCAGCCATCTTAGCTCCACCTCTTTGAGCTGCTTTCTGGATTGCATCGTAACTGGTAGATCGGAGCTTTTTCTGATTCAGCCACAAGTAACGCAGTCTACTCGATTCTATCATTGTGTAGGCGTCCACAAGGAACTGATGAAACAATCTGCCTGATCTTGTAATTGTAGGTGCTTCCCACCTCCTCTCTAAAATCCGAAATGCAAAGTACTCACGCATAGTTACATTCTTGCGTTTTCTCGCAGTGCTGTCATCAAA